CGTTTGAACCGTCACTTTTTGAATTATTTTTTAATAATTTAATTGGGTCAAACCTTACTTTAATTTTATTTAGGCTTTTAATCAGTTGAATTATTTAATTTTCATATTCTGGCAGCTCAATAAAATACATATTGGTCACTACAGTTTTCACAAATTTACCAGGATTATACTGTATTTCCCGGTTATAAATAATGGTAAATGGTCTGAACTCATATTGCTCTTTATCAAGTCACTATGGACCCCAAAGCGCTTTACACTTACAGACATTCGCCCATTCATACACACTGATGGTGTTAAGCTACATTGTAGCCACAGCTGCCCTGGGGCACACTGACAGGTGAGGCTGCCATGCACCGGCGCCACTGGACTCTCTGACCACCATCAGTAGGCAAGGTGGGTGAAGTGTCTTGCCCAAGGACATAATGACTGAGAAGGACATAGTGGGAGATCAAACTGGAAACCTATACTGGTTACAGGATGACTACTCCTTGCCCTTTTGCCACAGATGCCCCCAATGTTCTGTTTAGTGCTGTGTCCAAATCTGAGACATGATTGACAGTTTCCTCCAACACTTCTCATTTTCCCGTTTTTTGATGAATTCTTTAAACCTATTGATTATTTTTTTATTTTCTCTTCTCAATGTTTTTTACCCCATTTTTCCATTATTTTCTGCTTCTTAATGCTTTTTACTTCTGTTTGACTAAATTTTGTTTTCCAACTGAGGTGTTTCTAATTGCCTCCTTTGTAGCTTTAACTGTAGCCAAATATCTGCTGTTTCAGTCCCTCTTACATGAACATGATATAAATGTAACAGATACTCATTATTTTAGTTCTTTAAAGTGTTTGTTGGTTCCATCAAGATGTTTGCTCTGTTTTCAAAATAATGACGAACCGAGTCTGAATAATTATGGATCTTAATGGTTGATGATCTTAAGTCCACTGAACAGGGAGTACTGCAACCTTTTCTCCTGTGTTTACTCATAGTTTATCCTCTTCCCTATATGGAAGAATAAATGCTACCCTGATCCAACCCACTGTATGCTGCTGTACATGTGTTGCACACATAGGTCATGTTTCTGTATAAGTCTGCCTGATCTGTGTAAGAGTTTACTCACATCTTAGTAAAAAAAAGATCCATTCAACTTTGAGGAGTATACACAGCTGATGAGCCTGGTCAGGATCCTTGGAATAATTTGTTAAAACAACATAATTATGACCCCCACACGCAAAGCGTAAGCGGAAGTCATATTGTTTTCGTACGGTTTATTAATTAATTAATTTCTTTTTTTAAGTGATTTTTGGTCAACCGTAGCACAAAAACGGCTGCACCAATCAACAGGAAATTCAGCAGGGCTGTAGATGAGTCCGACCTACACTGCGCCAGCCAACGGTTTTACGATAGACCCCAAATATGAGGAGGGGGCTCCTTTCAAAGAGGGGGTGTCTGGACTTACAAAAATGCTTGTAACTCAGAAACTGTTAAACACAGAAGCTTCAGATTTCTTTTGTTGTTTAGCTCTGATGAAGCTCTATCCATCAGGCCCACCAATCAGTGCCCCCCACCCCCCTGGACCCCCAATTTATCTGAAAAAGGGGTATCTGGACATACAAAAATTGTTGTTGCTCAAAAACTATTAAACATAGGAGCTTCAGATTTTCGTTGGTTGTTTAGCTCTGATGAGGGGCTATCCATCAAGTCCCACCAATGACCCCCGCCCCCCAAAAAGACCCCCACCCAAACCACTACACTTTTGGGATACACCTAGTAGCATGACATTTATTATGTGTGTACATTTATGTGTGTTCTCACCAGTAGCGTGCACAGACATTTTCGCGGGCAGGGGCTCAAATGGAAAAAGAGGGCACCTTGTCCGGTGCACAGAATCAGCAGCTGTCCTGATAATGTGACATTACAGACACTTCTTGTACATTGTGCATATTTATCTATTTTAAATCAGATTTTTTCTGTCTGATACAGATGTTTAATATTCAACACTCAGGTTGGTTTCTGTAACAAACTGGCAATAACAGAACAAAAACTAGTGACCATTTTTGTAGTGTTTATAAAATAACTATAATCAAGTTTATTTTCAAAAAATCGCTAATGGCTTTTTTGTTCTATGGAGGATCTTCCTTCAGTCTCTCCGTCATAGAGCTGTTTCCATGATCTGAATTAAACAGCTCACCTTCATCTCTGTCTGACGGAGGAAGGCAGGAAAACATAGAGCTGCTTCTCTGCTGTAGCTAAAACACCAACAATATCAAATATGTTTATTTGGGTGAAACGGCTTGGTGACAAAGATCAGTGCAATAAATTACAACATTTAAACTAATCAGACTCTAAATTACTGTTAAAATGTAACTCTAACACAGGGGGTCGAATTCACAACGGTGCTAAAGTTCCACACTTAGTCCAGATCAAGAGCCAATTTCTGTTAATATTTATTGAAACAAAATGAAATTATTCTTATGATACTAAATTTGTTTTCCAAATTATGGTTTATGTTCCATTTAGAACACACAAAACCTGAGAAAGAAAAGATTAAATTTAAAAGGAACCCATTTATTC